CAATATTTACAATAATTAAAATATTTTATAAATTCTAAATAAATTTATGCTTTAGATTGATTGGATGGTAAACTGAAATTTATTTTAAATAATTTTAAAAATAAGGATTCTGATTTGCTTAAGTATTTTGACTATGGTTATATTAAGTTTCACAAACATAAAAACAGAAAATTAAAAATTAAAATATTTATTAAGAAAATAGATAATTTTAACTATTAAAATATAATATATCTACCTTGTTAAATTATATAGTTATGGTATTTTAAAATAATTGTAGTTATTTTCTGTTTTTATGTTTGTGAAACTTAATATAACCATAATCAAAATACTTAAGTAAATCAGAATCCTTAGTCTTAAAACATATAATTTTAACTATTAAAATATAATATATCTACCTCGTGAAATTATATAGCGTTATGATATTTTAAAATAATTGTAGTTACTTGATCAAAAGATGTTTATTATTAAATTTATTTTTAGTTTTATTTTTAGTATCTCTTAAAATAGTCAGTAAAAAGTGATTGTTTTTGAGAAATTATACTATATAAGTAAAATATAATTTATATTTTTACTGTAATTGTAAAAGATACTGAAAATAAAACTAATCATCAGTTTATGTTAGTTGATTATTTTATGTAATCATCTAATAAAATAGATAGATATATACAAAAATAATTATTTTAAAAATAAATTTTTTTGTTTAAAATTATTTTTTAAAGAAAATATTTTTTTTTTCTAATAGCAATATTTTTTGTGTGAATTTTTTTTATGAAATCACATTATATACATATATTGTTTTTTTATCTAAGAAGATATAGATATAAAGTATTTTATTACTGCAAAGGTATATTTTATGTTATTTAAAATATATTTAAATTAAATATTACTATTTTGTGAACTTTCCTTTTTTTAAACCATATTATATATACTTATATTTTCGTTTTTAAATAGTTTTGTAAATTTTATAAATGTTTTTTTTTATTTTATATTGTTATTTGGAAATTTTTTAAAAAGAAAATAATATTTGATTGTATTTTTAATTCATTAGGGATATCATAGTAATCAACCAGCGTGAGAGTTAACCTGAAAGCGACACCTAAGAAAGTGACTTCTCAAATAATATTATAGAGATATAAGAGATATGGGTCAATCCATTTATCACCAATTGGTTTTAAGTTGAAAGTCTATCTACCTTAATAATAATTGTATTTAGCTTTGTTTGGAAACAAATAGTTTCTCTAATACGAATGTGATTGCAAAACATTCTATATAAGTTTTTCCTCAGATTTCTGTTTTTTTAGCTGGAGGAGTAAGAGAAGCAGCATCACTATCATTCTCTACCAGCAGTGGAACAAGAGGCTCAGCCTCAAGATTGGATATCTCTCTAGTCTCTGCCCTTTGCTTTGATCTTCTTTCTAACTCCATCTGCTTCAGCTCAAGCACCTTCATCTAAAATGCACCGTCGCGGCTAAACGAGGCCAAGCCGCATCTTTTTAATTGTTTTGACTTGCGAGTCAAGGAACATTGTATTAAATTGTTTTTGCACTGCTATCATCATAATATATTATTACCGTCGTTACTCGTTATGTTTTTGCATTTCCTTTAGCAAATAGCGTGGGACAAATTTCAGACAAAATGACCGGTTTATAAGAGATCCGTTTTTGTACAGAACCAGTAAAATAACTAAAAGTGAATGCAGACAAAGCCATACTGGTCAGAACACAACTGCTTGAATAAAACAAAAATGCAAAGACATAAAACTATATATTTCTTTAGACAGCTCGAAAACATCAGACACTAGAGAACATTCTGGTCTTTCGGTGGACTTATTTGATTTGACATATTTGGCAGCCACTACCCACACATAATATAATTACTCCTCTGTGCTTTGCAGTGATCAGATCTACATCTTATCTGTCTTCATCACCTTCTCTTTATTTTCTGTAAGTATATATGATTTATATGTTATACGCATGATCTAGTTAGATAGCAGTATGTATCTTTTAATGTGACTTTTTTAGTTTTGTTTATATATGTGTTTGGATGTTTTTGAGTGTAGATCCAATTTTATGTACTAAATCAGAGAGACTATGAGCAATCCGGCAACCTCAGATCTATTAGACAAGCAACGCCAATTGAGTTGTGGAGAGTTCTCACGACTAGAGAAAAGAATGGGAGGGAGGATAATGACGTTTCACTCCAAGTCTATGCCTAGAGGTTCCATGTTTCTTGACAAGGAAGCTTCTAGAAACTCCCATGACAAGAGGTTTGACCTATTCAGGACCATGTCAGGGAAGTTGGAACGTCAGATCTCGAATTTACGTGGAAAACCTATTGAGAGATCATTGCAGGAGGATAAAGAGATCACTGAAACTCTAACCGCTGATAGATTCTTTGACGCTCTTCAAGGCCCTGAACTTGAAACTCTCAAGGTAATATATATAATATAATATTTTTCGTTATATACATAATTTAAATATTAAATCGAGCACAGATTTAAAAATAAATGTATTAAAACGAGTAAAATATTTAGTTCAAGTATTAAATTAGGCAGCAAAACATTAGGTATAAAAAAGCTTAAGGAAATTTAAGTGGAATTTTTTTATAGATTATTTTTTTTTTGTTCTTGCTTTTTTGTTACTTGAGTTCATGGTGTGTTAACATTTATATGGAAGAACAGGAGAAGGAGAAGATAGTTCTCCCTGAGGACAAAACATGGCCGTTTCTTCTTAGGTTTCCAATCACATCATATGGGATGTGTCTTGGAGTAAGCAGCCAAGCCATCATGTGGAAGACCTTAGCAACCACAGACGCTGAAAAATTCTTGCATGTCACGCAAGTAGTCAACCACGTCCTCTGGTGGATCTCTCTCATCCTCCTCCTCGCAGTCTCCATCACTTACCTCTTTAAAACCATCTTCTTCTTCGAGGCGGTGCGTCGAGAGTTCAAACATCCCATACGAGTCAACTTCTTCTTCGCTCCACTAATATCAATCCTCTTCTTGGCACTTGGGATCCCACATTCCATCACCTCGAGCCTTCCCTCTACACTTTGGTACTTCTTTATGGCTCCAATCTTGTTTCTTGAGATGAAGATTTACGGACAGTGGATGTCTGGTGGACAAAGACGCCTCTCCAAAGTTGCTAACCCTACAAATCATCTTTCTATTGTTGGTAACTTTGTTGGAGCACTTCTTGGAGCATCAATGGGGTTGAAAGAAGGACCAATGTTCTTTTTCTCCATAGGGTTGGCTTATTATTTGGTCTTGTTTGTGACTTTGTATCAGAGACTTCCCACGAACGAAACTTTACCTAAAGAGCTTCACCCTGTTTTCTTCCTCTTTGTGGCTGCACCGGCTGTAGCTTCCATGGCTTGGACCAGGATCTCTGCATCTTTTGATCTTGGTTCGCGTCTAGCTTACTTCATCTCCTTGTTCTTGTACTTCTCTCTGGTAATTTTCTATTTCGATTAACATATAGTATTTTAAAAATTGGATCTAAAAATTTGAACAATTTTTAAAAAAAATCAGTCTAAACATTTAAAAAATCAAGAACAATTCTATCAAAAATACATTTTTAAAAAATTTTATCATAAAATAGCTTTCAAAAACTAAAATGAACAAAATAACATTTTTTATTTTAAATTTTTTATGTTTTTTTCAAATTTTAAATCCTATACTAAAAACTTCACTGCTCAACTTTAAACAAAAAAGTATAAGATTAGTTAACTCAAAAAATATAAATGTTTACTTATTTTGATAAAATATATAAGTCTATTTTAGTCATTTTTATTCTTAAAGTCTATATTTGTGACAATGTTTTTTTTTAATCTGAGAATTTCTCAAAAATCAATTAAAAGTTGCCGCATAATCAATAATCCCCTATCAAACCACCAACGACGGCTTAGCCTTTTCTTGAACACTATATATATATATATTCCAGTGAGAACATAGCGAAGTTGCTTGCGCCACAAGAAACCTAACAACTTTACTTCTTGCTGTTTTTGTTTCAGGTTGTTCGGATTAACTTTTTTCGTGGATTCAAGTAAGATATATCTCTAACTTATTAGAAGAGTCTAGAAATTAAAAAATAAATATGTTATCTGATATTTTTATTTATTGGTTAATGTCAGATTCTCGCTAGCTTGGTGGGCTTACACGTTTCCAATGACGGCAGTGGCAACCGCGACGATAAAATACTCAGGCGAAGTCACCGGAGTAGCAACTCAGATACTGTCGGTATTGATGTCAGGAGCAGCATCGCTGACGGTGATGGGTGTCCTGGTAATGACGGTGGTGCACGCTTTTGTCAAATGTGATCTCTTCCCTAACGACGTCGCCATTGCAATAAGTACAGAGCAACCGAAGCAGAAGAAATGGTTCAAACAGGTCAAGGTTTTGGACCCGGAAGATAATCAAATAGATGTAGAAGCCCCTCCTTTATTAAATGGATAGTGTCACACGGTTTAGTTAGACCAATGATTCAGCTTAGAGGTGTGAAATAAAGTATAAGCAATTTATAATAAAACATACAAGAAAAAAATAAGGATCTAGGCACTGACAATGATACAGGGTTGCTGCTTTGTCAGACTTAAGCTGGGGAGTTTCACTGGCACCACAAGTACCATCTTTCCAGGCCCGGCCTTGAACAACTAAATGAAATCAAAGGCTGGAAACCCAACGAAAAAAGGCTGCCAACTGGTTTACCTATGAGAGAAACAACCAACAACCGTTTCTTTAACCATCTCAGCTAATGATATTTTTTTTTGAACAACATCTCAGCTAATGATAAATTTTTTAAAATTGCCGAAAACTGTTTTTTATATTAACAGCCAGAAGCAGATGTTTCCACTACTTTTGTCCAGTGCCTCTGAAGTTTCGTATGGACACCACAAAAGAGTAACTCGAACGAATCCAAGAAAACTAACTTGATTTATTAAGAATCACTTAAACAATCCTACAAGATCTGTTTAATCCGGTTTACTCAACGTCACAACTTGACTTGAGACGGACCAATTCTTAATCTACCCAAACGCACAGTGATCGAGACAGACCTCACCACTTGCTCACTTAGAATCGCAGCTTTGAACACTCAAGCTCGATAGCAATCAATAATCCCCAAAGCCGTAACCTAGCTAATGAACTCTATCACCAATATATACTTATGTATCCTATTGTGATAAGTAAAGATTCTCTTGATATCTTCTTGTTTGTTTCCTAACAAACCTCCTAAAATCTTGTGTCATTATCTTCCAAACGGCTCCTTGTATTTCGCTCCTGATGTAACACACGCTCCACGTTGTGTAACACCTCAGCCTTTTTTCGCTCAACTCAACTTGAGCTTACTCGTGTGTGACACAGTCTCCTGTCTGTGTAACACTCCAATCATCATGCTCAGAACCCTGAGCTTACAGCCTCTACTGCATCTTTCTCATGTCTCTGAGTAGAACATGGCACAGGGTTTAGCAAGACTATTAGTTTTCTTGAATGTAATACTATCAAGTGCAAACCCCACCTTGGCGAAGACTATGATGGATATCTTAGAGCATCTTCAAAAGGTCTTCAAACCCTTAAATTTTGGAGTTTTTGACTGTCCAATAGATCTTCAAGCCTTCAAATTTTGAAAATGTGAATAGTGAAACCTCACATTTGAGGCTTTACTGTGCATGCCTTCAAAACACTATTTACTTTTCAGTTTAGTCCTTATATTTTTATACCTTACATATAATTATATTTGTATTACTTTTCTTATCACTTTATTCCTTATAACTATATTTTATAAATATATTTGTCTGAAATATTCATTTATATCTTATATATACATAAAATATAGAAATATGCCAAAATAAAATAAAATATAATATAAAAGAATAGTACTTAAATAGAACACTTGGATTGGGTGATCATATATGGGAATATTATGAAAATAAAAATAGTGAGTCATTTTTATTTTTATTTTTTATTAATTAATGTGTGTTTTCTGTTATCATGTTATGTATTTTATTTTAAAATAAATTGTATTTATAAATATTATGTTTAATTTTTTAAAGTATAGTATTATCTATCTATATAAAACTTAGTGATTATAATTAGTTTATATTAAAGTTGGAGACTAAAATGCAAATAGTATAAAATGCCCTCAAATCTTTATTTCGAGGATTCTCCACCCTTAAAATGAGGTTTCTTCTTGGAGATGCTCTTAGAGCATCTCTAAAAACCCCTTTATTTTAAGGTTTGAGCAAAACTTTAAAATAAGGTTTTTGGGTGTTCCTCTCTAAAAGCAAAACCTTATAATAAACCTTAAAACTTTTGTATTTTACATAACAGTCCTTATATTTAATAATACCTAACTAATAGTATAAATCTTTTATAATAACTATAAAATAGCCAAAAAAAATTATTATAAAACAAAATTAACAAAAAAATATTATTTTATACTAAAACCTTCAATATAAATAAAAACATACAAAGCAAATCATGAAACTTAAGCAAATTACATAACTATTCATTATAATTAGCTCTATAATGATCCCATATATGATCAATTAAGGCATTTCGAAGTGATAAATGAGCATTTTTATCTTTTATTTGAAGATTACAAGCTAACAAATTTTGAAAACGAGCATTCTCTTTTATATGGGATCATTAAGAATTGTGCCACTGGCGCTGATCATGAATCTCTAGTCGGTGCATTGATATCACATTCATCTTCAATAATCATGTTATGGATGATAATGCACACTTTCATTATATCATGCAATACATATTTTTTCCAGTAACGACATGGTCCTTTTATGATAGCAAACTTAGACTGTAAAACTCCAAATACACGTTCAACATCTTTTCGATATGATCTTGTCTTGTTGCAAACAAATATTTTTTGGACCTTGGGGATCACTAATGGTTTGAAAAATTGTTGACCACTTTGGATAAATTACATCAGCTAAATAATAACCCATGTTCTACTCTTTTCCTTGAATAATATAATTAGCTGGAGGAGCGGTACCTTGAGCAAACTTTGAGAACAAATTAGATGACTTCAAAACGTTAAATCGTTGTTGCTACCCGACATACCAAAATAGGCATGCCATATCCATAAATCCTAATCTACGACAGCTTCAAAAATGATTGTCGGTGATCCGCTACGACCTGCAAACTGTCCTGCCCATGCGGTAGGACAATTTTGCCACTTCCAATGCATACAATCTAGACTCCCTGGCATTCCAGGAAATCCACGTTGTTGGCCGATGCTGAGAATCCTGGAAACGTCTTTCGGTGTTGGTGATCTGAGGTACCTCTCTGAAAATACTTCTACGATTGCGCGACAAAATCTCTTCATGCATTCAATTGTTGTAGACTCTTCTATTTTGATGTATTCATCTGTCGCATCAGCAGGCATACCATATGCCAAGATCCGAAAAGCCGGTGTGACATTTTGCAAGGTTGATAAACCCATTCTGCCAGATGCAATACGCCACTAAGTGAAGTAGTTCCCATGTTGTTTAACGGCCTTAAAAATGTGAAGAAACAACTTTTTTGACATCTGAAACCGACGGTTGAAATCTCTCTCACCATATAGAGGATTCTCAGAAAAGTTATCATTGAACCCATTACGATGTGCATTTTTTTATCATGATGTATAACTGCATGACCATAAATAGAGCCTCGGTTACTGGCATGATCGATTTCTTGAGTGAGTTGGTGAATAACGCGATTGTTATCGATAATAAAATTGACAGCAATTTGTTCCTCTCTTTCTATTGCTGCATTTTGATCAACTAACCATTCATCAAACTCAGATGAGTCTGAAGAAGATGAAGACGAATAATTTATAAAAGAAGATGGACCTCCAATATTGAAATTCATTTTTGAATTGTAGTGTTATGATGTTTGTCTAACATTAAGTGTATTTTTATATCTATAAATTTTACTATTCCAAAAGATAAGAAAATCTAGATATTTAAGCTATACCATTCCTTAGATTCTATATGCCTAAGAATCTTTACTATTTAAAATTGATATTAAATATGTCAAACTTATCCAATATATTAGATAAGAGAATCTTAAAATTTCAATCTACGCCATTCAACGTATTTTATAGTCCTTGGATCAAAATCTTATCTAATCTATCATTCACATCAGTAGATAAGGAAATCTGTAATATTAAACCATGTCCATTCATTTGAATTTTATCCATACATTTACTTGTATAAATAATAGGTTCTACACAAGAAAAACTCACATCCAATAACTTTTCATAAAAAATATGGAAAGAAGTAGAGGCTTATCATTTAATCAACATGAAGATGAGTTGTTATGTTCTGTCTATTTAGAAATATCCCAAGATCCCACTGGTAGCAATAACCAATCTCTAGGAAAATTATGGGAAAAAAATAGAAAATAGCTACAATGAAAAAAAAGATGAGTGTTGGGAAATTAGAAGCAGCAGATCTTTACAAGGTAGGATGACTACCATTCTTTATGCTGTTCGAAATTTGAAGAGCTGCATTATCCGAGTAGAGAATTTGCATCCAAGTAGTGCATCTGAATTTGACATTGTAAGTATATTTATTTGCTATTTAGTTTATATATGATATTTGTATATGTATTTCTTAAAATTTTATATTCCATGCAGATGGAAAGAGCTAAGAAATTGTTGGTACAAGATCCAAAACTTAAAAAGGTTTTAAGTTTGATCATGTGTGGCATTTGCTGAAAAATATTCCAAAATTTACCGATAATGTTAATATTGCTATTCAAGACACTCCTAATACTGAGAGGAATATCGGCGGCTCTCCTACATCACAATCTCCAAGTTTGTCTTCATTTTCAATCAAATTAAGTAGTGATGATGGAGGATCAAATTCATCACAACGTCCGATTGGATCAAAAAATGCAAAAATCAAAAGAAAGATTGCAGAAGGTAATAGTTCATCTGTTGAAAATTTGGTTTCATCAAATGAAAAACTTCTTGATATCTTACAAGAAAGTGCATCAAGTAGAGAAAAAGGTTTTGAGATAGCTCAATTACGTGCGCAAAATCAAGCGAAACAATTAGCACTTAAAGAAATGCATGAAGAAAATAAAATGTTGCTGACAAATTTAGATTCTATTGTTTACTCTACTACTCGTGAGTTTATTCGATCCGAACAAGAAAGAACCATCAAAAAAAGAACTCAAGAACAACAACAACAACTTTCAATTTCTTGTATTTTATTTGCTGTAATATCATTTTGTATAATATTTATTGCATTTTTATAAATATTTTCTATTAAAAAAAGACTAAAATGATTAAATGAAAAAGTTATTGACTGTATTTAAAAGTTACACAAGTAAAAAGACTAAAAAAGTAAGGAACCTTAAATATAAGGTTTTGTACAGTGAAACCCTATATTTGAAGTTTCACTGTATAAAACTTTAAAATTTAAAGTTTTAAAGTTGCTTTTGAAGTGCACAAAACCTTATATTTGAAATTATAAAAGGGGTTTTAGAAATATTCTTTGAAAAAGATGAAAGAAACAACCTCATTGTTGATTTCTAAAAAGCAGGTCCTTAAAAATCAAATACCAATATTTTAGTTAAATATTTAAGTGTTAATTTAAATTAATCTAATTTAATTGGTTCAAGACATGTGGCAAAAAAATTATTAGGATAGCGACGCTTGGAGAGAGGGGTTTTGTAAGAGCATATGTATTAAAGATTCATGGGAGAAATTCACACGTTTTTCAAGAAAAAAATAATAAAATAAGATAATTATGGTGTCCCCGCTTTTTGCATGTTCGCTGGAATGAACCCTGGGTTCTAAAATCGCTCAACTCGGCCGATTACTCAGCGCTTATACGTGCGGTGGTGAGCCACCGTCACGATTTGACCCAAATCGGTTGAAAAATCGGATCTTCTGAAACTACTCTTTTTTTTTTGTTTATAACTAGGCTAAAATAGCATATAATTTGTTGGATCTATATGAAGGAGTAAATAACTTAGAAAAATGTGAGGCTGCTTGTTTTAAAACCAGAAAAATCGTAGGTTGAACAAAAAAGATGATGATTTGGAAATGACTATTATGTCTTTATTAAAGAAAAAAACTAAAAATAATCAAAACTAACCTATGGGGACAATCGAACTCGGGTGGAAAGGGTAAATAACCAGCATGTAACCACTGAACCAATACGTTTTATTGGTAATGCATGCAATTTTTATTTCTATAAGATACATATACATAAAAAACTTAAAACTAATCCCTGATTAATTCCAGATTAATCTCCGATTTTACTTTAACTCACTAGGCGCATGTCAAGCGCCTAACTAGCGCCTAGTGCGTTCCTGAACATGGTATGAACCTGGTTCATCCTTGTTTCGCGAACCCCACGCCAAGTGATGGCCGTAATTGGCTCAGTTATTATTATTATTATTTTTTTAAAAAAAAAAATAAAAAAAATCAAAATAGTGAACACATGGCGAACTCCTCTCCAATTTGTTAATAAGCATGCCCTAAGGGTCTTTCCAAGGGATCGGTTCACTATTTCCTCACTTTTTATTTATTTATATTTTTTTCCCTTAATATTTAGAAACTGCCTAAAACTTTGTGTTGGACATGTTCTTAGTTTCCACTTTGTTGTGTTGGAGGCTCCGAAAAGCTCTCTATTCGAATATCTTTGTGGATTTATTTTTTCTAGTTGCATTTCTATTTCCTGTATCAGGGTTCAATTTTTATCTAATTTGAAAGTACGAGTGCAGTTCTAACGGCAATTTCGAGAGTAGATTTTCACCATTTAAAAAAAAAATGAAAAATACAGTAAAATTCCTATAAATTAATAAAATTTTCTATAAATTAATAAAATTTTCTAACCTCAATTTGAGTCCTTTTTAATATTTTACATAAATTGATAAAATAATAAAATAATATTTTTTAGAAAATTATATGTAAAGATATGGTCCCATTAAGATTATAATTTATATGTATAAATATTTTATATAAATAAGAACCTATCATTATATTGTTTGTTTGATATTCACAATAGAATTGACTTTATATTTTCTTAACACTTAATATATTTTAATGAGATTTAGTAATATTATACCTAAAACCACATTTAAATTTTATGCAATATATATTATATACACCAAATAATATAATAAAATTAATATAAGTGTCAATTTTTTTACAAAAAATAAAAGTTAATGTCTATACACTAAAATTAAATATTTTTCTCATCTTAGAATAAATCAATCTTAATATACAAAATCAAAATAATGAAAATTTTATAAATTTAATATTTTTATAAATTAATAAAAAATTTCAAATACCAATATTATTAATTTATAAAAGATATACTGTAATTAAAGTTGGAGAGAGAATAAGGAAAAGTTCTCTGCATGCATCTTTCAAGCACCGATTCTCAGTTCTAAAGGATATGTGTCAGTTTATTAAGCTTTCATTTAGTTTTACAGAATTAAAGCAAAACTAAATTATTATAATAACTAGGTAAAACCCGCCCTACGGGCGGGGTACGCACGTTATAAATAACTGAAAAAAATTTCAAATTCTAATAAACATTTGATATTTTCAATTATTTTTTGTGTCTATTTTGCGCTAAGATTTTTGCAAAATTGTGGAAGGTATAACTATTAAAAATCAATAATGTATTTAAAGAATTCAATCATATTGTGTGAATACTTTAATATATATAAATTCGCCCGAGGATCATTTATTCTTAAAGGGCAACCTGTTTATGGCTACACAAATTCATAAGTTTCAAGTTAATCAAATTAAATACAATAAAAATACTTATTTACTTAAATTTGTATGATGATAGTGTTCATGTTTTATTGGAAGAAGTAAGAAAAGAGTGATAATAAAAAATTAAAGTTGCATATTTTGTTATTTTTTTCTTATTTTCAGGGTCTTTAAGGTTTTACTAAAAGTTAACAAAATACGATAAACTAATTTTTTGTATCACGGAGATTTTTCTTAACGTTTATATATAATATTACTTATTCCATTTCACAATAGTTTAAAATAAAACTTTAATATTAAGAAAGATCTTATTTTTTAGAACATAGTATTTAATTAATAAAATTTTCTAATTATAAAAAAATAGACATTATTTGATTGGTCACATTATATCCACTACATGTAAGAGTTACATAGATGTGAGAAAATTACCTATATTTTGAAAAAAAAAATACTATTTAGAATATGAAACGGAGGGAGTAAAACATAGTTTTAATGAAAATACATAATTTAATTGGTTTAGTTAATAAATACAGAACTTAAGAAGAAACTATAGTTTTCAAAAGAAATGAATGATTATTAATGAAATAAATCGAGCTATAAAACTGGCATTTGTTACTTTGTATTTGTAACTTTAAGAATTATTATTTTTCAGTAACATAACTATAAGATTTATTACTCTAAGTAATCCGATTTATCACATAAATTCTTTGAACATTAGCACTTTGCATGTATGCTGAGTGGTTTGATGTGTAATTTATGGTTATTAAAAATTAGATAAGTTTGTATTTGTTGCAAACGCCATAGATTTGTGGAATAATTTTAAAATTATTTTGAGGGTTTGATTTACCTTTTTAGATATTTATTATCATTATCTGAAATATCTAAATAAATGTGTTTGTAACGTGGTATTGAACGCAAAAAAAACTTCAAATTGCTTTAATTTTGATATTATAGATGATTTATGCCATTATTTGTTGTGTTTCCGTTTTAACAACAAAAACTTAAAAAAAATTTGGGCCTCTACCATATAAAATAGCCAGCCCAACAACAACCACAAAACCGACAAACAGAAAATCAATTGAAACCGAAATGGGGGAGAGATAAATTTTGTTCGGTTTATTTGGTTTAGGTTATTGATGACATGGCTTGTTTTGCCCCCCTCACAAATGCTGATGTGGATGCATGAGAAGGGAGAGAAGCCTACTTTATTGTATAAGATATTATATTTTTGTTTTAGAACTCTTAGAGATTGTAACCGATAATGTTCCTCTGACAGTATTTAACCTTTAGAATATTAAAATAATCAAATGGGCCCAAAATATGGCTTAAGGTTTTGTTTTATATTTCAAGCACATATATAACCGTTTGAGATAAACATACCAACTACACAAACACAAACTTCTCAAGGTAAATACTGCTCTTTCACCATTTTGCTATTGTTTTTTAGATTTTATCTACCGGATCTATGATTATGAATCAATTTTTAAGATTGTTTTGTATATACTTTTGAGTGAGGAACTTTGAATCATGCTTTCTATTTGTTTTTGTGTTTTGTAAATTTTTAGATCAAAAGTCATATTTGTTTTTCAGTACTATAAGATTTGAGAATTTTGTGGGTTTGGTCTTGAATCATGCTTATTTCATCTTTGTTTTTGCTTCTCTTTGGTTTAATATGTATTCCTTGATGTAGATCTGAGATGGAGTTTACAAGAGAAGAAGCTCTTGATCTCGTCATCCACCTCAGAGAGCTTAAAAAGGAGGTTTTTGATTCCTGAGAATAACATATGCGATTGTGAATGATCCTTCAACAGATTCTTTCAACAGATTCAATGATCTCGTGGGGTCCCAACGGAAACAGTCTCATAGTGCAGAGACCTCTTCCCCTAGAATATACCGTATTCTTTCTTTTCCACTCAAGAGTTCTAAGCTTGGAGACATTTGTAACTTACGTAAGTCATTTTTATTTCTTTTCTTATTATCAAATATTCAATTAAACATGAAGATTGTTATAGATTTTTGTTGTTGTTGTGTAGGGTTTTACAAAAACTGTCTTTGGATCACAAGTGGAATATGCAAACAATGATTTTGTGAGTGGTCAACCCGAACGTTTAGAAAAGATATCCGAACCCTATGTGGCAAGGGTGAAACCAAATATGGAGTTGGATTTAAAACTAAATAATGGTGAGCATCCTGTATTGGACTTTGATGCTCGTAAGGTTCTTATCCATGGGTTTAATGACTGAATTATGTTTTACCTTTCAAATTTTAGATGGAAAGCTCAGATTTGAGGAGTACACTAGTTATGGTACTGTCGTTTTACGCTTCAAAGGTATATATAAAATGGTAGATGATCCTGAAACCAACTCATTCATCTCGTGGGGACCCAATGGCAAGAGTTTCATAGTACTGGATCATGAAAGATGTGCCGGTTTTGTCCCTTACGATTTACTTGAAGAATGTGTAAGTTTTTTTGTACAATTTTTTTCCATAGAAAAAAATATGAATCCAATGTTTATTGTATTTTTACCTCTTCTTTTTTGGCAGAGTTTTACAAAAACAGTGTCTGGATCACAAATGGAATTTACAAGTGAAAACTTTATGGCAGGCAAACCCGAGCTTTTGGAGAAGATAGGCGAAAAGCATAAGCCAGTGAGGATTGCATATTTTAAGAAATTAAGGAAGCGTATGGATGATTTATTGAGGACGTTTGAGAAACAAGCTCTCCATAACTAATGAATCTTGAGCAAACTCGATTCTCATTAGTGTCGTGTTTGCAAATGCTGAGCATCATGTTGGACTTTGATGATCGGGCTTAATGAATTCTGGCTTTATGAAATAATGTTTGGCTCATAAAAATACACTAGGATAAGACCCGCGCCTTGCGCGGGACGAAGTTATTATTTTTATTATGTTTTTAAAAATGAAACAATAGTTCGGTTTCATTCAGATTAGAGGTGTTCAATCCGGATATCGGGTTTCGGTTCGGCTCGATTTTTTGGTATTTCGATCATTAAAATATAACTACTATTCTAAATCTATATGTACTTCAGTTTGATTTGGTTTATATACCATCGGTTTTCAGTTTATTCAATTTTATACCAAAAACATAATTATTTAGTTTGAGATCATATTATATATTATACAAATANTAGAGGTGTTCAATCCGGATATCGGGTTTCGGTTCGGCTCGATTTTTTGGTATTTCGATCATTAAAATATAACTACTATTCTAAATCTATATGTACTTCAGTTTGATTTGGTTTATATACCATCGGTTTTCAGTTTATTCAATTTTATACCAAAAACATAATTATTTAGTTTGAGATCATATTATATATTATACAAATATATAATATGATCATATTTAGAGTTATATTGTCACAGAGTCATTTCTTAAAAAAATATTATATCTTTAAATAAAAGAATAAAAAACAAAAAAGGCTTCTATCATCTAATAAAATGATCAAATATATAATTAATATCAAAACACTAAATTTTGAAAATAAAAATAAAAAACAAAACAGAAGCATGAAAGAAAAGTTTTTATATTCTTCCATATTTAGTGTTCATCAAACCAATATGTCTTCGATTGAACAAAACTATGTTTGTTTAAAGATAAAAAAAAGTTGTAAAGAATTTCAACTAATTGTTGTCCATCAAATTTATAATCTTTACTTCAATTTAGTTACAGTTAAAAAAGCAAAAGATCAAAATAAGAAGTCTTAGTTGTAATAAATTGTTAGCTGTTTACAAATTATAATTATAGTTCAACTCATGTAACAAATAGATATTCATGCGTCGTTATAAATATATACATATTTACATGTTTCAGTTTAATCAATTATAAATCAAACCATATCCAAATCCTATGGTTTTTATAAAATCACTTCCATTCGGTTTGTATGGTATATACCAAAAATAACCATATTATCGATTGTTAATATTTTTAAAAATATAAAATTAAAAAAAAAACTAAGATATTTAAATCATTGATAACAAAAAATTTCAGTATGAAAAATTTAATAAGTTTATAATTTATAAATGTTCTTGAAAATTTATTGAAAATTTTGAAATTAAAATATTTATGTAATCTTATATGGTATATAGTTTAATCTGTATATATATATATATATATATATATTTGTTTTATTATTGAATGATCTTTTTTACTTATATGGTTTTAAAATCATGTATATCTTTTTATAATAAAATGTTAAACTATTGATCATTAATTTTTAACATAATAATTTTAATAGTTTAGTTATTTATTCTCATTTCTTAAAATTCAAAATATAACCTATATGAAAAAATCTAAAGTTTAATTTTATAGCTAATTTGATTGTTTAATTTATTTTAATAATATAAAATTAAAGAAAAATGATGGAGGATATATAAACTGTTATCAAATATTTATTATTAGAATCATTAAGTGTCATATATATATATTAGTCATTTATGGTAATTCCGTAGGTTTTATTTATGAAAATAAAATAAAATAGTAATTATATCTTAGGGAACAATCATTAAGTGTCATATATATATATTAGTCATTTATGGTAATTCCGTAGGTTTTATTTATGGAAAGAAAATAGCATATCATATCATTATATCATATAGTTTAACTAACTAATGTATCTAGCAACCTATAAAAATCTAATGTGGACTTACTTATTTTTCAATTGAATCTAATTGACTACCTAATTGAATGACACCTATGCATTGGGGTCTCTTTTAATTAATACAAAATTGAGGTTACATCTTTTCAAATGTTCCTCAATTAATATATAGGGGATTATGAGTGAATGTAAATTTTTTTTCTTTGTCCGTTTCAGAAACTCTTGAAAATCTGTTTATTGTATTCTGTTTATTGTATTCTCGTAAATGTTCATTTTCTGTTATCGTCTAAATTTTGCATTCATCACTCCTTTTTAGTTTTTTTACGTCACTCCTAAGTACCACCATGAATCCTCCTTTGAGTAGATTAGGAGAAATCAAGATGCATGTCAAAGATGGCGTTTCACCCCAAGTCTAGGTGTTCACACGACAAGGGGTCTGACCTATTCAAGACCATGTCACTTGTCATTGTCAGGGAAGCTCAAATGACAGCTGAATCGCTAGTCGAGAAAACAGTCGTTTAACTATGGGAAAACTGATAATAACCCTCAATTTTCAAAAATAAACCAAAAATTTATAACTCATGTACACGTCATTTCAAATTAGATTAACAATCAGGGAATGAAATAACTATTGGGTATATTATATATGATTCTCACGTGAATTTGACCAATCCTTTATATATAATTCCAGAATTGATTTTTAAATATAATATTATTGGAAATATATAATTCTCACGTAAATTTGATCAATGCTATATAGACATGATTTAATAAAAACATTTATATGAGTGACACTTTTTGATTTTTTAAAGTTTGTTTGTATACCATCACCAAATTTACTTTTATTTTAAAAATGACATTTACTTAAAAATATGACATGGTTTTTATTTTTCTAACTTTTTTAAAATATTGTAATAATTCATACAACATCATTGAAATAAATATATTCAAATGTAACATCAAATAGTAGAAATATAAATATAACAATATTTACAAATTCACAAATATTAATTAATTCTATCTTTTGTGATTATACAAATTTCTTAATACTTAAAAAAAAATCTTAGGAGTGTTGATTTTTTTGTTAACTATAATTTATAATCTAATACTATAAATTTGTTGTTTTAACATCTACAAATTTTATAAATGTACTACTCTCGAGCTCAACAACTGGTCTGTATTTCCTAAAGCTGAACTAAACAAGAAAGTAACTCTTTTTACTTGTGTAACTACTAAAAGTTTAAATGGGAGATGGAACAAAAGTGGTTCCTTCCACTTAAAATCTGCTATTCAAACTTTTGTCGTATAAGCAGCTACATTAGTATAAATAAAAGACAAAGCAACGAAAGCTGTAGTCAGACTCAGTAACTTAAAGAAAGGTCAAGATTGATTTATAATAAAGAATCTGCTTTTTTGCTTATCTTTTCTTCTTTTCTTTTTTTTTTTGATCGGGAGTTATATTTGTTTTGGAGTTTAAAGATGTAGATCGAAAGCTATTTTCCCGATGATCTCGATCTTTCCTTCTCTTTTTTTTTTTTTTAATTATCTGAGGATCTAAAACATGGATAACATATCCTGATTTTTAATTTCTTTTTTTTCTTTCTTCTGTAGATCTCAAAATAATGGATCTAAATGCTGTCCAAGCCACGGTAGTTAATGCATTAAATAGCTTCATCGGCGAAACCCTTCCAGCCGTTGAATTCGGTTCACGAGGTAAAATTGTAGATTTATAGAGTAAAACTTTCTTTTTTTAATGGAGTTAAAATAACAAATACTAATATATAATTTGCACAACTATTTATATTCGTAATATCAGGATTTTTTTTTTCCATGCAGTTGACAAATTTTGATAAGCTTCAAACTGCTTTGAATGAACTTCGTAGTCTCCACACTTTGATCACCGACCCAAGAAATTTTGATGGAGTTCTTAATCAAGCAGCAACTGAATCTTTGGATCGTCAGAGAGTGCGTATAAAACGACGGATAGATCGATTACGTGCAAGGCTTGCATCTCTTGAGGACCTTATCAAGGTACGGTATCAATATTTAGTTTATATTTCTAGTTTTATGTATTTACAGATCTAATTTGAGGTTTAACTTTGCTTGTAGAATAACCATCCTTTGGATATGGAGATTCTTGCGCATCATCTCGAAAAAATTAATAGTGACACAAATCCGGCTGGTGTTATTGGGGCTCGTGCTGTTGGGGATAATGTTTAAAGATATATTTCAAAGTTACTTACCAATAAGTTTATTTTGATATGTTTGTTGTTTTATAAAAAACTTATATATGCTCTATTACGAATTAAGAGACAAGTCTATTGGTTAAGGAATAGTGATTTTTAATGAATGTTACATATTTGTTTCGAATGCAAACACATACAAAATGTAATCGTTCACTATATTAATACACATACATACCTCCAAATCTCTTTGACGACAGAGTTCTCTGGAGGAAGAATTGCAAATCAAATACATCTATCTGTCTTCTTAGCGGACAAAGGGCAAGTATAGTAGCAGCAAACATACTTCCAACTACAAAAAAAAAAAAAACAGCTGAAAAGTTTGCACCGAGAAGAGCGTTTGTATCATTTGCCCACAATACGTTAAAAGTCTTATTCCAAATGATCGTCGGTCATCGTTAAAAGGATATAGATTATATTGGTTAAAGATTAAACTGATCAGTTGCAAACACTTTCTTTAAAAATCTATAGAAATGATTTTGTATTAGACATTTATTGATTTTGGGTTTTCTAAATATATTATGTTCCTATTATTATTATTTAGTTAGTTTGTATTGTTGATAAGAAATATAATAATGACAGATGTTTTGATGATTATATTTTTCCTCAAATAAAGACAGCAACTGATCTTACGATGATATAGTATAGATTTCATCTGATTTTCCTCATATACTAACCGACAAAAATGGTTCATATATTGAATAATACAGTCTTTTTAATCTAGGATTATATTGACCAATGAAAAATTAGTTCAAATTTTTTTTTTTGAGAAGTTGTACCAATTTTGTAATTAACATCCATGAGAGAAAATAAACTTATTGGATTCTTTTTTTTTAATGTTATCTCATGTGAACTATAATATTCTCAGTTTTTGTATCCAAAAATATAATGGTCAGTTGAATTGCTAATTTCATATCTTATGTTATATATGGTAGATGAATGTCTGAAAACATAATAAGATTTAAAATTAAATGAAACCTCGGTCTGTATATCATAAACGAACCGTATGTTAAAGATAAGGGATTTAAAGCATATAGAAACATATTTAAACTATACTGTGTAAATACTATAATCGATAATACATTGACTAAATATTTCAATCAATTTTGAAATTTTGAAATTTATTTTTGTGTAATAGAATATTAAGTTTAGTTAAATAAGAATGTCTTGTTAGGAAATTATTATTTAAATAAAAACATACATTTTTAAAAAATGGATGCTCTAAATAAATAATAAACACACCTGAAATAAATTATTAATTATATTTTAAAAGATAAAATGTTTTATTTTTTATTTTGAAGTAAAATGAACATTTATTTTTGACAGAATCTATTCAAAATACTTTTGAAGTAAATTTTCGAAAATTAATAAATTTAAGCTGTTATTGTTGTAAAAATATTGTATATAATTTTATTTTTTTATAAATGAAAAAGAAATTAGCGATGTTTAGGAAAATTGCAATTTAAATTAATTAGTTTTTGGAAATAATTTTTAGAGATTGAATAAAGATTTTGTTTTAATATTGATTTGTATTTCAAATAAAAACATAAAGATATTGAAAGATAATATAATTAAATTACGTAAAAGTTTATATTTTTCTACTAAATGGTCCAAATAAGAAACAATCAAACATGAATTAAGTAATAATTTTTATTTTAAGATTACAGATTAAAAAAAGTCCAAAACATATAATTAAACATCAAGTTGGTATACGACTGAATCTGATATAAATTTGGTTTTGAGTGAAAATATTAGGAAATATAATTGATCTTGATAACAGAATAAGTAATGTACAATATAGAACAAGTGTTATATGAGTCACACAACAATGTCTACTAGAATAATGGTTTTGCTGACGATGTGAGAAAGTTACTTTCATTTGGATTTTTGTTACTACCGTTAGAGTACCATAATTGATTGGAATGTTTAAAGGGGGTTTTATCTATTGTTATATTAATATCTAATAGTAATTTAATTATATAATTAAAATTTATTATATTACAATTAATTAACCATTTAGTGTACAATCGTTTCTTCGAAAGAATCGATAGTGACCTTTTCTATTTTCTTTCTAATTTTTTATTAGTCTTTTTGGTAGAAAGCGTGGTGAGAATTGACCACAACAAGTATTTTTGCTCTAGGTTAACGACTATTCTTTATTCTTTTTTGCTTTGATCACCGATTGATGATGATTGATGATGATTGATGACCGTACGTTGGCAGAAAAAGATGGCGTCTTCTTACTGACTGGACTGGACGTTGACACATGGTCGGTTGAGTTGCTAATTTGGTTTTGAATGATAATATTAGTTGTGAAATCAGTTTAATTTTCTAGCGATGTTTATGAAAAATACAATTTAAATTAATTAGTTTTTGAAATAATTTTAAAAGATTGAATAAAGTTTTTCTAATATTGATTTGTATTTCAAATAAAAACATAAAGATATTGAAATATATTATAATTAAGTTATGTATTTTTTATTTTTTAAAGAAATTGTTCAAATAGAAAATAATCAAACATGAAATAAGTAGTGATTTCTATTTTAAGAGTATAAATTAAAAAAAAAAAAATTCAAAGCATGATAAATATTATATATGATTCTTGTTTGTACAATGTTTTAGTTTGTCATGATAAATATGTTATTATATAGTTGACATATGAATTTCCAAAAGTTATTTTAAAAGAAAACAATATAGTTCAAAAAAGTCACACACACACATTTATTGACTGGATTACAAATCTATTGAATTTAATCCAAATCAATATTTTTGGAATTGATAGTTCAACTAATATCTGAAACCAAAATTATTTTGGGTTGAATCAGATCTTGGAAATGTCGAACAGACTGACTAAATCTAAACCAAATCTAACATACATATGTTATTTTTGGTTGAATCAAATGTACTTTTATAGCATTTGAATGAAATTGAAATTTATACTCGATTGCCGAGTCCTAAACAAATCAATGAACACATTTTTTTTCTTTAGAAATCGCCTACATCTATGTACAAATTAAAAGCCATATTTTTTGTTGATAGATGTTTTGAACTATTTTAACAGTACTCGTCCTAGAGTATTTTGCTCTAATTCTATGTGGTCTCCACATCGGTTCTATTTTGATTGCTTAATTATAAATTCAGAAATAATTCAAAACATAAATACAGAAAATTGTTGTAAGACTGAATCTGATATGAATTTGGTTTTGAATAATAATATTAGTAGTGAAATAAGTTAGGAATTAAAAAAATAATTAGTTTTTGGAAATAACTTTAAGAGATTGAATAAAGATTTTATTTTTAATATTGATTTGTATTTTAAATAAAAACATACAGATATTGAAAGGTAATGTAATTAAATTATGTAAAAGTTTATAATATTTTCTAAGAAATGGTTCAAATAAGAAAACAATCAAATATGAAATAAGTAATGATTTCTAGAATATAGATTAAAAAAAAATTCAAAACATAAAATTAAACATCAAATTGGTATATGCTGAATCTGATATAAATAATTTTGTGTTCTAAGAGTTTGAGAATTCCATTTTGAAGTTTCTACCCTTCTATTACACAACATAAGGTATTGCATATACAAATTAATTTTCTTTTATATGCGTTTTAGATTTTTGTGATATTATGTCTTGTATTTACAAATCGTGTATTGCATGGTGTTTTGTAGATGGAGTTGGCCATGTTTCATCTTCCTACTTGGCAGATCTATTGAACTTTCACTTTTAATAATTATAATACGTCTGTTTATTGCTCATATTTGAAGTTTGGTAATTTTTTTTTTTTGAAAAAACTCCCTTTTTTTGAGCAAACCATAATTATAAGAAACTTAAAATCATTCTACAAAGGTGCGGAAACAGAGATTGCAGATAATACATATTGTCTCTTCTTCTGATTCTTCAGTTTACTTATATTTTTGTTCTATTTTCTTTGCATGATAAAAAAATCTGGGTGTCTGAGAATATTCACATCAAATAAAAGCCACCAAAGAAAGAGTCAACTAGTACCCCAAATCCAAAATATTAGTTTTTCTTTTTTCGTGCACATGAATCATAGGATAAGTTTTGGCTAAGTATTTTTGTTACCTTGGTTGATTACTGTAGCTAATTATCTTGGTTTTTCTCATTTAACATATGTATTCATATGATACTATTTTTGTTAAGATGCTAACTTGTTTTATAACATGCTTTTTTTTGCTAATTTAATATAATATTATTTAGTTAACTTTATATTTAGATGTTAAATTGAAATTATAGTGTACTGTTAAGTTACTGACTTGTTTAACGTGTTATATATAAATATTACTCGTTAATAAAACTTGTAACGTGTTAATAATTTTTAAATTCGTTAACAAAACTTGTAACATGTTAAAAATTTGTTAAATCGTTAATTATTTTTGTAAAGTATTTGATAATCAAATTTCTTCATGAGTTCTAGCGTTCTTTAACAAAACTTGTAACATGTTAAAAATATGTTAAGTCGTTAATAAAGTTTGATAATCAAATTTCTTCATGAGTTCTAGGGTGGTTCTTTAAACCTAGAAAAGAGTAGTTATCAGGTTTTCATTTTCCATAAATTTACTTTTCATCAAATATTACAAAATTTAGAGAAATTGATTAGTTTTTTAAGATCAAATCTCCACCTCAAACTAAAATTATATTATGAATTAAAGAAATTGCAATGTTTATAGATAAAAGTTGTAGGGGAAAAAGGAATGTACGAAAGAAAGGAAAAAGTAAAAAGAAAAGGAGTGGGGATTAGAGGAAAGTGAATGTCAATTCAAAACATAAGTTTTACAGTTTTTTGTCTGTGTTAAATCATGTATAGATTTCCAATTTCAACACTAATTAGAGGTAATAAGCAAATTCTCTAAAAAAAAACCGTCTTCTTACTGACCGGACGTTGACACATTGGTCATAATTCATTAGTGTCTTTCATCAAATGGTACAAAATTTAGAGAATCGGTTATTT